ATCCTGCCATCCTCCACATGATTCTGTACGTTCTACGATGTTCCGGACTATTCTAGACAGCGTCCGGATTACTCGCATTACTCAGCCATGGACTATCTGACCTTATGTCGATTATGTCCCTTACTCAGCGTTACTCATCGCTCAGTCAGCGTCCTCTGGACGTCACATGCTCTCTTCTTATACGCTTACTCATCGTCCTCCCCAGTAGTATATAAGGAGGACTCTGCAGGCCTCTGCTCTTCAGTCGTTCTCTCACAGACTGAAGAGTAAGTCCCACACTACCTATGCTTCCTTACATGTTTACTTACTAGTACTTGTAGCCTCTCTTTGTGCGGCTTACAGGTACAGTACTATGCAATCATAGTCGTTCTCTCACAGACTGAAGACCTCTCTTTGTGCGGCTTACAGCCTTCCAGGTTCAGAGTTCATCATCTTGGCCTGCAAATATATTCCCAAATAAGCTTGGGCATCTCGGACGGCCTCGGCAGTCTGCGTGGGTCATCCCTACACTGTTCGCATGCTGATGAGTCTTGATTATCAGGGCTGCTATTCCGCGCCGGAACGACTGCTGTCACTTTGTGGGGCCATGCCATGGAATGCATCCTGTTTGCATGCGCCCGCCGACGAAGAAGACGTCTTTGATACGTCTGTAACAGTGTTAAATCGAAGCGCGAACCCGCCGACCACTCACGCCGACTACACAGAGGCACTCCTATGGCTGAACGAGAACACCATTGGATGCAACTTCAAACCTCGGTGTGCCCGGTCTGGAGTATCCGCAATGGCTCTGCTCGTCTCGCAGGCCACTCACGGTGGCGACCATACGATCGAGAGTGCGTTCCGAGCGCACCTACGTCATTTCTTCCGTAGCTGATGTCGGACCTCTTTAACAGCCAACTGCAGATGTGCTCAGCAGCTCGACACTCGAGTTTTCAAAGGCCCTGAGCATTCGCAAGATCCTCGCGGGGCCAGGGATCTGGGACGGTCCTAACCTTGAAGGGCAAGCTTCGTTTACGGTCGTGCAGGCGCCGCGGTTAGGTACACCAGCAGCGGCAGCGCGATTCGCGTTTACGAGCATCATTCGGGCCTCCACATACGCGGTACGTCTCCGTATTTGATCTCGACCGCTCGGACTTGGTGTAATCATTGTTGCGGCACATTAGACCTCTTTCGATCGTTTAGTACGATGTTTGTGGCTTCCATATACTACTATGTAATGCAATATTGAGGCGATGGACGAATGAGCAGACCACCAGGCCTTGCGCCATCTTGGTCACTGCTACTGACATTCTTGCACTGTGCTCATCGCATCCGCTTGACTCCTCCAACAGACTACTTCCCCAATCAAGAACCCACTGCGCTCCGCGCCATCGGGCCTTGTCTGTGCACACGATCTCAGCTACACCACAGTGTCGGTCTCCTTGCGAGCTCGCCTCGCGCTGTCCAAGCGAGACAAACACCATCATCGCTTCTGAAACGAGTCGGGAGGTGCATTGCGCGCACCCTCTCGATCGAATTCCCATGTTCGCGGCGGCACGACATTGTCGATGCCTTCCCGTAGTGTGTTCCGTATGCGTCGGCAAGTGGATTTCGCATGCTCAGCCTTAATGCCTCGCGCACAGACATGCTCCTCCGGCCTCACGGTAAGTACACGCCCTGTTTATCTCATGGTACATGCCACAGGCGTACACCTGTCCCTACGGACGTTGCATGCGCGGTCACAATCTAATTCAGTCGACAGAACATTGTCAAACGCGCCGGTGGGCGGGACACTGTGCACTCCGCCCGGCAGCACAAACTTTGTGCAGCGCGTCGTCGCGAAAAGCGTCCCTGCATCAAGTATGAAATACTTGGGGCGCACCCTGTTTCGTATTCCCGGATGCACTCGCATCTAGCGCGTCCCGGATCGCGCCCCGGATCGCACCCCGTTGGTCCGCTCTGTCCACGCCTCCGCTGTTGGAATTCGGGATTGGACAGTCTCGTAGGTACATCCGTATATGGTATTGATTAGTCAGCAGCTAGTATATGTACCACCCGATGTACGCCACTCGTTCCTTATGCGTTTGCAGAGCTCAGCCAAACGCAATCTATTCTGTGTTCATCATTCGTCGGCTCCCTCGAACTTCAACATCCGCGAATACTCTCGCCTCGCTTTACATCTCACTCAGGCGGGCCCCGGCCCTCCGCTCGTCATGTAAAGTCACGCCGCGGACTCGTCCGCCGATGCCCTAGACCCCGGACGAGACACAATTGGACCACGAAGCCCACGGCGAGGCGAGGCGAAGCGAAAGTGCGCACGGTGAGCGGGAGGGTGCATGGAGGTCCGAGGCCGGGGCACTCACATTTGCTCGCGTAGCTACAGCCAAGCTCGCGCGAGCCGGTCAAGATCCGCGCGACGTGCGGCAGTGCACTCGTATATATACCTGCACGCACGCACACGGCGCGCGACATCCTCCCTGTCTGCTTTCTGTTGTCGTCCTCCGTGCATGGCACATCCGCGCGCCCGTGCCCGGACGTCCGACCCTCCGCAGCTGCCTCCTCGCGATTCCGCTGCCCGTGTACCATGGATGCGCCCACGACGGCGGCAGGTACGTCGCCCCTCGCTTTGCGCAGTTTCTCATCTATTTTGTCCTGCAGCATGGCCGATATCAGGGCGAACATGCACAGAAGACGCGAGGTACGTGCCGTGTTTACTTTCTCCGGGCTGATAGCAGCCGCCGAGTCACCTGAGATTTCTGTCTTGCTTGCAGGAGCGCATGCTCGACATACGTGAAGATCGCGTGCACGACACCGACCGTGGGGACTACAGGAACAGGTGAGTATGGGAGCACTGTACTCGGACGTGGCTAACACACCTGACAGACCGCCGAATCCGCGCGCAGAGCCGTATCGGTGCGAGGTACGCGTGGGGGATATTGGTCCAGCAGACGAGGGCGAGGGTGGTCACGTAGCTGTAGTAATAGATATCAGAGTCGGCTGCGCGCGAGGAGAAGAGCGTGGCCGCGAAGGGTTGTGGCACACAGGTACGGGGACGTCTGGCTCGTGATCTACAAAGGTAAATGCTAATGCTCATTGCGACAGGTGCCGTGCACGCGGGCAGCGACGTGCAACACAGTCCTAGCTATCCATAGCTCAGGTGAGTCTTCCCTCATCGTTCTCTGCTGTGGGTGCCTCGTAAGGATGTATCGAGCCTCCGGGACCGCCGGCGGCGTCCGAGACGAGGCGAGCGCGCAGAGATGCACTTGAGGTGCAAGCGGAGTCCTGTGACGGTGTAGGTGCCTGTGTACTCCCGCGGCGGCGCATCGGGGAGCTCATTCGCATCGTGGGTGGCACACGGGGGACGGCGCGCGAGGTGATGGTCGAGGCGGCACAATGGGCGTCGTACGCGGTCGAAAGTTTCTGGAAATCCGTGAATCGCGGGCCTCGCGCGAGCAGATGAGTGTACGTACTTTGGGCCTCCCGCCGCGTACGCGTTCGCGTCCATTTTGGTGCAGGGGTGTCGTTGCCGAGCCTGCCTGCGGGCTCCGCCCCAGAGACGTCCTGCAGCGCCCTATTTCGTCCATGAGCGCGCGTCTGTGACGGTGATTGCTCAGGGGGTGTCCGCGAGTGCGCTCACCGAGCGGCGGGGTACCAGGATGCAGTAGGCAGGCAGTACGCACACATTCGTGTCTCAGGCCCGTGAGATGTTCGCCCGAGCCGAGCCCGCTCTGATCGCGACGCAGCCTGAAGGGTGTGCGCGTCGAGATCCCCTGAGCCCCCCGTTCCGCGCACGAGAGCCTGGATGGCACCGTGCGTGCGCAAAGTCGAGATCGCCCGTGTTGGCACTGCTAGGCGCCGGCGGCCCTGCGACGTCGCAGAGGCGCAAGGGCGGCGCGCGCCCTCGCCAGCGGCGGAGACGGTGCTGAGGGTGTCCGTGAGTCCCCCCGCCGCGCGGCGTGCCTGCCGGGGGCGCGATGGCGGCGCGACATCCGTTTTTGGGATTTTGGCCGGGTTCGAGCCGGTCCCACCGACCTAGTTTTCTTTTTGCTCGGATCGCGGCGCAGAGTGGAGCGCATGCGCGTCGTGGTCCCTAAGGCCTGCCGTTTTGTTTTTGGGCGCCTGGGGCGAGCCGTTGGGGCGCGGAGGGGACGGCACCGGGCCTGCGCGGCACGGTCCTGCCGCGCGACGCAGCCGTCGTGCGGCCTTGCACGCTGCAGAGGCCACGGCGGATACGTCTGCACATGCGTGTACCGAGCTTCGGAGCCGTAGGAGGCGATGCGTGCGCGGGACGGCCGGAATCGTGCTGCTGCTGCCGCTGCCGCCGCCGACGGACTCGGTCAAAGGTGAAGAGCCGCAATGACATGTACTGTGCGCGTATCGTGCAGAGACGCGCACCTTACATGCCCCCCAGTGACTACAGCATGTCGTCCTATGCGCAGAGACGAGAGACGCGGTGTCGGGGCGCGACGACGCCGCTATTGCCGTTCTCGAGGCATAAGCGCCCGAGCTCCGCGACGACGCCCCAGAAATAAACCTGCGCGGACGTGCCTCTAAGCGTCGGGGCCGTCGCCGGGGGTGCTGGGGAGTGCGCTTGCCAAGTGTCGCGGTCCCCGGGTGTGGGACCGTCGTGGGACACGCGATCTCGTCCGTTCGCACCGCCCCGGCCGTCGAGACTCGAGCCGACGCGACCGACTTCTCCTCGGATCGCGACGCGACGGCGGGGGAGTGTGCGGCGTGGTCCATAGATCCTGCCGTCTCTCTGGGGGAGGCTGGCAGTGCGGGGTGCGCGCGCCAAGTCGTCCGCACCGTCGATTCCCGCGCAGGCGCCCGGCCTCGGCGCCGCGACGTCCCCGACGCGCGACGTCCTCGCACATGCCTGCGAACGGCGTAGGCGACGTACCGGGTGCGGCAGAGTGTGCTGGCGCGGCCGTGCGGCGGCTGGGCGCGGGACCGACGCGGAGCGGGCGATTCCGTCGCTTCGTGGTCCAGTCGACCCATGAAATCGATCGAGACGACGTGAATATTTTCTGCTCGGTTCGGGCCGCAAGTTGCGGGGCACGTCCGTCCTGGTGCATAGTCCCCGGCGTTGCGTTGTCGGAGGCCCACGAGGCGGCGTGCGCGCGCGAGGACGTCGGCACTGTCGATTCTAGTCCGAGCGACCTGAGAAACTGAGATCGCCAGCGCAGTTCGCACGCGTGAGGATGGAGAACGCACCTCATGCGCGCAGAAGGCGAGCGTCCTACGATGTGCGCAGCGGCGCGGCGGCGGGTGAGGTACGCAGGGAGGTGTGCGCAATCTTGGCTTCGCGGAGGTGGGTGGACCCGTGAGATCGGTCGAGCCCGACCCGGTATCGTTCTGCGCGGATCGCGGCGCTGCACGGGGCACGTGTGCGTCCTCGTGCACAGCGTCCGCCGTCCCGAGCATCGAGGCCAGCTCCGCGCTGGGCGCGCGTGAAGGGCAAAGGGGTGAGTGTGGGCGGGGCCGGGCGCCTGAAAATCCGACGTCGTGAGCGCAATTCGCGTGCGTAGAAGCTAGGCACGCACCGCACCCCAGAGCGAGGGTGCTGACTCTGACGCACCCAGCAGGGAACACGATGAGGCGCGGGACGGCCGCGAGACGGCCGCGGGACGCGGGGTGTGCTCCCTCTGCACCGAGCCCGCTACGCTCCTTCGCGGCGCGCGCAGACGATGGAGCCCGTCCTGGGCGTGTGATACGCGGACGCTGGGGCGCGGCGAGGCCATTCAGCGCGGTACACGCGAATTTCTGTGTGGGCGCGCCCTCTGTACGTGAACTTGTCAGCGTAGTACGTAGCGGCACGCTCTGGTAATGCACGTACGGCGAGATACGGACAGTCTAGGCCTCGGCGTCCGGTGACGAGACACACCAGCGCATGCGATGTGGTTGGGAGGCGGTCGGAGGTCGACAGGGTGGTCCGTGCGTTGTGAGAGGCGTGGCGGGCGCAGTATACGCGCGGCGTCTTCGCCGGTCGGCAGGTGTCGTCATTGAGGTACCCTGCAACGTACCCTGGAGTTTGAGAGCGGGGAGATGAGAGCCAATACAACAAATACACCAAGATCCTCCCATACAAAGCAACAAAACGAACCTTCCCCAGTCACAAGTCCGCGTTCCGCCAAACGGGGTCGACCCACTCGAGCCCAAGCAGCTCGAACGCCTCTTTTTCTGTTTTCGGGTGGAACTCTTTCGAGTCGTATCGCCGGGTTCTTCACAGGGCGATTTGCGTTAGCCAAAGCCAAAAGCGGGCGAAAGAGGAAAAGAGTAAAGGGAGAGAGAGGACACACATGCCAGAACTATCAAACTTCATCCCGCACCGGTCCTTCGCCCACTGCCTCAGGTCCCGCTGGAACATGATCGACCCGCTCCTTTCCGCCGCATCAGCAAAACGCATGATCAATTTGGAGGTGACGCACCAGCCAACGACAGCCGTCCAATACACCTCCGGCGGCGCAAATATGAGGTCCACGCGGCGGCGCACCGGCACGCTCGAGTTCAGCGCGGAGGAAGGCGGGAGGACGAACACGGTGAGCGACTTCTCGAGCGTGTCCCAGTGCGTTGTTCGGAGTGGGTCGTGTGCGTGGAAGCTCGACAGGTCTGCTTTCGTGTTAGCGCGCGCTTGTGAGGGATAGAGGAGGGGGCGTACGCATGACGTGGGTGACCATGCCTATGGAAGGTGTCAGCGCGCGGACGGGGATAGGGAGAATGGAAGGGCGTACCGCGTCCGTGCAGGTGTTTGACGAAGCGCTTGCAGAGGCCCTTGACCTTGCCGGCGTCCGGGTGCGTGAACACGATGTCGACGTCGTTGCTCTTCGGCTTTCCCCTTCTATACCTGTCCTCCCCTCACATCAGCCCTCAACCCAAACACGACTATATGCGCGCCAGTGGGAGACGGACGTACCCGCCGACGATCGTGGAGACACAGCCCGGCTCGAGCGCGTCGAGCTCGCGCATCACGACGCGCCCGATCTCCTCGACCTCGTCCCTCGGGATCCTGTCCACTCCTCTCGTCAGCACCCATCTCGTTTCTCGCGCATAGAGTCACAAAGACGCACATCTTACTCAGATCCTCCCGCAGCCCCAATGCGACGCGGATCCAGCTATCTCCCAGTCCCTCCTCGTCGCCCTTATCCTTCTTGTCGCGGCCCTTCCATCCCGCCTGGCGCGGTTTTTCCTCGACCTCGATGATTTGCGACTGTTGAACTTGGGAACGCTCGACGCCGTAGTAGATCTCGAGGTCGGCGAGCGAGCGGAGGCCGAGGGCGAAGAGGCGGCGCGCGGCGTGCGGGCCGATGCCGTAGATGGAGGTGAAGAGCGAGAGGGTGCGGAAGCGCTCTGAGGACTGGATCGTTTCTGTGGAGGGGTGAGGTGAGGTGGATGGGGAGGGGAAGGGGAGGGGGAGGGGAGAGGAGCGGAGGGAGGGACGCACGCGCTTCGGAGATGTGGCCGTTGTCGAGGTATTCGTCGACCTGCGAGATTGGCATAAGTATGTGTACTGCAATGGGAGGAAGATGCAGGGCATACAAGACCAGAGATCTTCACGCCTATGTAAGGCAGCTTCTGCACCTGCTTCAACGACCGTATTTTCTCGGGATACGCTGAATGCATACCGATCAGTCCAACTTCTCAGCAATATCAGCTTGGCGCACCTTTGATCACGGAGATGGCGCGCTGGTAGCTCAACGCGCTCCGGTCTTCGCCCTCCAGCGCGCGGCTTTGCCGGATGATGTCGAGCTCGCGCGCGAGGTCCTGGTTCGGGCATACCAGCGGCGACGCTCTCTGGCATGCGTAGAGCGACATGTAGTTGAGCTTCTCGAGGTCGGTCACGTTGGGTGGGTCTGGAGGTAGAAGATGCGCCGGTATTGAAACGGGTTGTTTGGAGGTGTCATGCCTCGACGTGCTGGGAGACGTCGGAGGGGAAGGGAGATGCCTAGCGCGTTTTGGGGAGGACGACGGAGATAACGCGCTCGCGGAGGAGTCCGCGCACGCGCAGGGCTTGCAGTTGCAGTCCGGGCAGTTCTTCACGGTCGTCTCGTGCAGGTCTTCGATGGCGACGTAGTCCCCACATGGAAGGGCAGAGCCGTGTTCGATGGAGTCGCGCAGCCATCGGGGCGCCACGACTGCTTTCGACGTCTGTGTGTGGTCATTAGAGCAGTTCAGATCATGAAAGTATGCAATATATAAATCAATGAGTAAATCAGGAGTCCTTACCGCGATATCCCAAGGAACATGTCTCTCGAAACGCCGCCGCATGCTTATAGCCGTGATGATAACGTCCGCGTCCGCCGCGTTCTTGCAAACGCCCTTCGTATGCCGTTCTCCCAGGGTGAGCAATTCGGAGATAGCGGCCGCGTCGAGTTTCGCCTGCACAACATAAACCTTTGTCTCCGGCAGCGATTTGGTCACGGAGGTCTTAGAGCGTTTTGCGGGAGGCGGTGAGCCTGAAGACGAGGAAGATCCGGACGCGGAGTCTGACCGCGTCGGATTGGGGGCTGGGCGTTTGAAGGGCATGCTGGAAAATCGGCGTATAGGCGTTAGTAGGACAGGAGAGCGTGACTGTCGCGTCGCTTGGACGACGGTCGAGCGAAGCAGCCGACTCGAGCGCGTCTGCATCGTCGACGTCGTCAAACCTTAGGGAAGAGGGATGACGTCACCCGAGCAGTGGCCGCGAGAGTGTGACGCCGTGTGACGTGCCGCATTGGGATGTTTTTAGCCGCGCACAGCTTTCCCAAGTCCGAGTCTTGCCACCACCTTGTACGTTCCACTACTGCCGACCATTGTCGCCGGAATCATTTCTGACAGTGTCTCCTTGGATGCATGACATCTTCTTTACTGACAGCGAGAGCCATTACAGTCCTAATGCACTGCCCAGGGCCCACCACGAGTTCCCCTCGTGTCCCTGGGGGCGGTGAGTAATCGGTATCCGAGGAAAGGACCCAGATTAGCAATGACTTGAAGTAGCACTCGCGCGCACCTCGCTCTCTACTATCGCTCACTTTGACACAAGCTCGTACAGAAACCCCCAAACATCAGCCAAAGTACAGCAGCGCGCAACGTCGATATGCCATCTACGTACGACATTCTAGGCATCATCTTCGGGATCATATCGCTTCTCGTATTTGTCAAGCCCGCCACACGATTCATCGGCGCTCGTCTCCCTCCCGGCCGTCTCCGGGATATCCGCGTCGCTCTCGCAGACACTCGTGTGCTCATAGGGCAGCTGGATCGCGGGGGATACTTCAGAGACGCGGTGGACGCCGCTGGGGCGTACATGAACAGGGTTGACGAGTGCGTGTATCTTCTAACGGTGAATACACTGTAGACTAACCAGAACGCTTGCACTTGCGTTTCGTGATATCGCCTTCCCGCAAACAGGTTGGACGACCAGGCCAACGTGCTGTCAACGGAGGCTGAGCGATGGAGGCAATCAGGTGTCGTCCGCTTCCTGCCATCCAAGCGCGCCTGGCTCCTGAGCCGCTGTCTCCATCTCCGTCGGGAGGTCGATACATTGCGCGCGAGTCTATGGCGGCTCCCACCCCATGCCACGTGCTCCATCCCCACAGCGGCTCTTCTGCATATCCCCACCCCATATGTATCCCCTTCCAATGCTCCTACGACCTCTCAGGCTGCTCGGGACGTCCATACCGCGGAGGAAGCGCAGCATACTATTGAACTTCTACGCACTGCAACACCCGACCCGGTCCGTGACGTTGTGCATTCCGAGGATGCCATCGACGGCGGCTCGCAGGTAATCCCTGGCAGCCCATCCTCGACGTCGCTGGGCAAGATCAACTTGAAACGGTATCATTGCCCTGTGTGCTCTAAAGCATTCCCGAGACCGAGCATTTTAGCGATACACATGGACTCTCACTCCGGCGCGAAACGTGAGTATCCCCTGGTATCTGCTCATATCCTCTCCTGTGGACCTCGTGGAACACATGCTAAACTACCGTCGGCGCAGCGTTCAAGTGCCCGGTACCCGTGTGCACAAAGAGCTATGCGGTGCGCTCGAACTTGCGGCGGCATCTGCGGACGCACAACATCGTCGAGCCGGCAGAGCATGTAATCATGTCGCCCTTGCAGCTAACGGTCGAGTAACGAGTGCGACACTCCACACACCGCGGTTATGCAGGGATCGCTGAGTCTACTCGATGTGCTATTCTAGGTACCATCGAGCCTCGCCGCGAACCCGAACACCGACCCGAGCGCCGACTATGGCCTAGAAGGTATCGGAGGTCAAGGCCTCGCGCGAGGAGTACAGGCGCATGTTCCCCCGCGCGGCGTGTGCGTTATGGCGCCCATGCGCACGAGGAGACGACCAGAGAGCGCGAGTCCGGGCCCCGCTGGCGGGGCACGCTACAGCGCTGCACGATCACTATCACCGTGGCGCAGCTCGTCCATCGAAGCCGTCCACGAGCTTGGCCACAACCGCCTCCTGGAGAACCCAAACCGCGAAGCCAAATATAACGCATCCCTCCGTTCTGTTTGTTTCACTCTCTTTCATCACCCTCGACACTCGATCCAACGGCAAGGACTACCTTGACGTGATGCATCATGTATCTTGAGCGCTTGACCGATCAAACAAGTCGTTGTAGTACTCGTCTGCACGCCTGCCAGAAACGATCCAAACGCGGTACCAGATGGATTGATATCGCGCCCAGGCCATCGCAGCAGCGGTGTCTTCAAATCGGCGGCAGCTGGAACTAACGACCCACGGGAAACTAGACGATTGGCCAGCACTACTCATCAAGCGATGCTGCTGGGAGGTCCCTCAGCGCGGCTCAGATAAAACAGAAGGGTCTCTTCAAGCTTGGTAAACGGGTGTCTCACCTGTGGACCACTTTCCCTCCGCCTTCTGGTACGTCCCATTTGACAAACATTGTCCTCGCATTGCCCGCGCTCTGGACCTTACGGCATATATACTCGAACAAGCGCACAGGTCCTAGGAATCAACACGAGGCGTGTCGTGTCCCCACGGCGTGCTTATATGTGGCAGCCCGCGCCCCCCGCACGTTGCTTGCTTGCGTATAGCCTCCGCCCTTGCAATCTCCTCCCCTCAGTCCAGCTTGCACCGCGAACCCGAAGACCCCACTGGCACCCTTGATCGCAATCTGCCTACCTGCCTCCAACGCACCATCGCCATGACGTCCGCATACGATATCCTGGGAGTCATCTTCGGCCTAGTCTCGCTCCTTGTGTTCGTCGAACATGCCCGGCGGTTCATCGACGCGCGACTTCCTCCGGGGCGTCTGCATACTATCCACGGAGCATAACACGTCGGCTTGTTTGTCCAGCCTGCAGAGGGGATGCGCAAAAGGCGAGACTCTAGTTAGCGCTAAGATCGTGGCGAGTGGCTATAGGAGCGGTGTACTTTCTTTCTTTCTTTTTTAACTCCCGTTTATTGCCCGTCAGGGCCTAGCCCTATGTTAGGCACTAAACTAGCGTAACTGTCGTATGTAATCGGCCTGCGTAGGTACTCGTAATGGAAACAAATGGGGTCCGAGAACCCCAGCGATCAGGAGAATGTCTAGGAGAGTGAAAGACGACCAAGGACCTAAGTGTACCGGATGGCACCACCTAGAGCAGAGGCAGAGGATGGGGGGTGTGGAGGGGGTGCTATCATAGGGGGCATGCATTGCAGGCGGCCATTCCTGGCCTCCCGACCATCAAAGGTAAGGCAGTCGGGTTATAAACCTGCTGTGCATTTGGGTAGCCGCAGCTCCCGGGTCCTGTGCCTCTTGCCACAGTCAGGGGTACGGCCGGCCGTCCCCCACCGGTCGTCAGAACTCCCCCGCTCCTGGAGCGGGATGGACGCCCGCAATGCATGGCGCCGGAGCGCACGAGAGACGAGAGTTAAAGAGGGATATAGACGTAAAAGAAGGGCCGGGGAGCCAAAAGGGGGAACGTGCAAGAAAGAGCCGAAGAGCTATGGAGCGACATGGAAGCTGAGCAGCTCAATGGCGGAGTCACGGGGCGCGGTCGGGTCTGTGTGCGAACAGTGAGCGAAGTGAAACCGAAGTTCAGAGCGTAGGAGGGGGGTAGTGAGAAACTCAGCCATTCCGTCGGCCTCTCTGGCGACCGGCGGTCTGCTTCCGCTGTGCTTGCTCCTTCTGTCTGGCGGCAGCGGTGTACTTACTCGTCAACCCTGCGCCTGTACGCCCCGGCGGCATCCGCCCCTCGGAAGCACCCGATACGCTCGAACCGCTCGATGAGCAGACGGGCTCCTGCAAGTGGATTGAGACAGAGCGCTGGCGACGTATGCGCCTCACCCGCCGCTTCCTGCCCTCCAACCGCGTCGACCTCGTGCGCGCCCGCAACCATCTCCAGCGGGAGATCGACGGCGTGTGCGTGGATCTTTGACTGTTACCCCCAACGAAGAACTTTAAGCCGTATCTCCCAATTCTTGCGGCCTACGTTCCCACCTCCCTCCCCGTTGCTGCAATCCCTCACAATTGCCCTACGACGGCGGCGGTAGAGGTGCTTGCGTGCTCTCAGGCTGCCTCGCCATGTACAGGCGTCAACACGACCTGCGCGCGGGACTGCATCACGTCACCTGCGGACGCTTCCTCAGGCACACCCGCGGACGCTCGTTCGCTATCACCTAGCACAAGCACTGGCAACGTCTCCCCTCCAAGCCCGACTTATCTCGACGGAGACCCACCACCCTCCGGGCCCCCGATTGCGGCGCGTTCACATGCGACGAGGAAAGGCGGTGGTGCGGGGGCCGGGACCGGTCTTTCGAGACCGAAGACGCGCATGCTGCACGCTGCCCGCCGTGTCTCTCCCTCCGCCGAGCGATAGGAGGACTCGTTGTACGCAGATTACCGTAGGGAGGGCGACTCTGTACGGGAATAGTGATGTAGGGTGGTGCGAGTGGTGTTGCCAGTTGTGGGGCTATCGTCTTCCGAGCCCTTTCAGGATTGAGCAACGTCAGGTAACGAATGGACGCATGTGCAGAATCATGGAAGCTGCTTCTACCAAGGCAGTGGGACGATGTGCCACCGGCGGCTCCGAGCCCCTCAGGCCTGCCGCCTCAGTCTCTCTCGGTTTCGCACTTCGACGTGTTGCTTCAAAGAGAAGTAGCTCTTTAGCATATAGACAGCCTAAGTAGGTGGATGATTACCTGCGCAGTTTCGGGAAATTCAGCAAACAAGTTGCACTAAAAGTCCAGCTTACACTCAGAGCAGCGGACACGATAATAATGTGACAGCCTTATGACGTCCCGCTTTGGGATGTTTGTGCACAGCTTTGTCGACTCTCGGCGCCTCGTCTTTCAACGTTCAACTTCTGCGCCGAGGCCGACGTTCCATCCCGTTCACCCTTGGTGCACCCTATTCTTTCAGACTCTTTCACAGCATAGTGCCGGTGCCCTCGGTCCTGGCCTGGGGTCTCAACCTAGGTTTGTAAACCTGCCTCGCGTCTGGGAGCGCCGGATGGCAATCGTTTCTCCCCGAAGGGAAGCTGCAACCTCTTGTGAAGGGTGGTGGTGGTGATCCCGGTAGCAACGACGCGCCAAACATCGTCTCGAGGCCTCTCCCCACGCGCCGCGCGGCAGATACTCTTGGAAAGAATGGGCTGGCCAGCAGCACCAAGCGTTCCTGATAGGATAATGTTCTGTCGTGGTAAGTATTCTGCACATAACCTGCAATACAGCTCTGGACGACGCCGGTCCCCAGCCATCCATTTAATGCCCACTGACGTCTTCCGACGTCTCTCATCCAGACAGCTCAGCCGCTCTCACGGGAGTGACCACCACATGCCCTCTCACAAGATTTCTGGCCTAGCTCCACCCGAAGATTACGGTTCGACACCAGCGACGTAGCGGCGGTCCGCCGGTCCCCATCTGACGTTTGGCGTCGCCAAGGCCCTCTATGTGACATATGTACTGCCCATCGTAGCGAGATCTACATAAGGTTCTCCAGATGCGTACAAGTACTGACGGCAGACCAGTACTTCATAGTCCTAACACCCTCCCCCCACTCACTGATACTTCTAGTCACCCTTCTACGCGCACGCCAGCACGCTTCGCTCCCCAGTCCCAGTCACAACATCTCCATCTCCTAGCCATCTACATGGCTACTGTCTATGATGTCCTGGGTGTCATCTTCGGGATCACATCGCTTCTCGCTGTCGTCGAGCAGGCGAGGCGACTAATCGACGCTCGTCTCCCTCCCGGACGCCTGCGCGACCTCCAAGACGCACTCGCTGCAACCCGTATGCTTGTGGAACGGCTGGAACGCATAGGATGTCTAGAAGACGTGAACGTCGCTGGCACTTACAGGAATAGGATCACCGAGTGAGTGCACCCGTCCCCGGCTGTCTTTCCGGGTCCGAATGCTGAATGAAGCCGTTGCGCCCCCGCCCGTGATTACAGGCTGGACAAGCAGGTGGACATGCTGTGGGTCGAGGCAGAGCGGTGGAGACAGATGGACGTCACCCGGCGATTCCTGCCCTGCAACCGCATCGACCTGCTGCGCGACTGCAGCCATCTCCAGCGCGAGATCGACGGCGTGTGCGCCGATCTCTGGCTCTTGCCTTCGCCCCCTCTGCAGAAATCACGCGCGTCTCCCTTAGCTCCCCCGGTCCCTTCAACCACTCCTACATCCTCAATCCGTCCGGACGGTTCTGCTGCAAAGGCGGCGCAGTCATCCGCCGTCCCCACTCCTTTACCCGCGCCTCGCCGCACCACCTCGCCCTCGAGGCCGCGCCCACCCTCTCCCCAGCACGCTCCTCCTGCGCAGCCACTTTGGGTGTCCCTCGCCAAGTTCATCATGCGTGGCATGTGCCCGGCTGCTTGGCTGGGTGCGGGAGTTGCCTGACCCTAGCTGGCATACTTGGGGGCGGCGGTGCGGGTCGCAGCGGAATCGCGAATTGTACGAGTATGTTACATGCGGCGCGGCGCGTTTGGTGGCTCTCGGCTGGATAGTACCGAGGGCGTGAGCTTTAGTAGTGAAGGTTCTCGTGCAAGCCGCAGTGGGGTTGTGCGCACTGCGTAGTGTGGTATTACCCGCTCGGATACCAGGGGTCAGGCTGCCATGAGGGAACGATCAACGTGAGCAGGTCTCTCGCTGTAAATATGCACGCGGTTACTTGTTATGGGGTGGAACACAGTGGTGATTCAGGGAGTGCACCCTCCTCCCGCTGGGATCGCTGCAGCGGTCGCGGCCTGATGATCCCACAGTGATTGACGTCCGATCCATGCCGCTCGCGCGTGCACCGTCTTTTTCCGTTCCCCAGAAAATTCGCCTACCGCAGCACACCAGTCGCCCCATGCCGTCTTCAAGTTCTAGTGCCACCCCTGCCCTGAAGTCGCCTCCGCCCACGATATATACTGCGCCATCCGCGAGCGTGTCCCGCAATGGACTCCTTTGCACTGTGCGAAGGAGGAACCCCAGGACCAATCATTACTCTCTCAACTACTCGTACGCACCCCTGACAGCTGCCTGCCGTTCCACTCTCACCCGTGCCCTCTAGAGCGCGGCATCCCGCCCAACTAATGCTGTGCCGCCCCGCGGAATTCCGCAGGGCGGCGAGCGTGCACACCCGGTGCGCACGTGCTTTTACAGCGACAGAGGGCAGTTTCCTCTGTGGGGCCCAGTTCAGAACTGAGTGCTGCAAGCGACCTAAGCGAGACTAGGTCCTCGGAGGATTCAAGGCGGGAAAGGGGTGGGAGCAGGATGTCGTGCTGGGACAGTTTTTGTGAGTGCCTCCTTCTCCGGGGGGTGCAGTGAGTGAGTGAGCGGTGATGCTGATATGTGCGGCTTGGTCTGCTTAGCCTAGGGAGTATAGCGGAATTCCGCACACGTTGGACATCCAACGCTCGCATACGAATGCGTGTGAGTGCCTCGTGTCGTTGTTGAAGTTCGTGGATACGATGCTTACCAGTCGTCGTCGACTTGCACAGGCTGCTGCTCGGGACTAGGGTGGTTGATATCCGTTTCTCTCGCGTCGTGACCGTAGCAGTGGTCTCGGTAGTACAGTACTATCGCACTATATGCCACTTAGTAGGTGGTGACCACATGATATGAGTGCATGCATGTGCGCCGCGTCCTCCGACTGAGCCCGTCTCACTCTGGGGAAATACCGTGCGCGGTAGTACAAGAGGCTGACAAACATGAGGCGATTAGAAATTGGAATGTGAGTGCACGCCTTTATCCAACATGATGGTATCATCCTCTGGTGTCCCTACCTTTCAACTGATCTTCAGCACGAGTGAGTGGCCTGCCACACCAAGTCCGCTGCCTTGACTCTGTGTGCGCTCCGCGGACTCCCTCAACCTGTCGCGTCGATGTGCACCGAGTCTGCGATATCCCCACAGTGATAGATCATGGGATACATGCTCACGTCGTTCGCGGCGCCACGTGTACTGTCTTCTTCAATTCTCCAGAGGATTCGCCTACCGCAGCACACTCCGAGTACCACGCGTCGCGCCTTTCAACACTCCTGCCCTACAGTGACCCTCGGGCAGGATAAATACGAGGCTCATCGCGAGCGTGTCCTGCAATGGACTCCCCCGCGTCCGCGGAGGAGGAACCCCAGGAACCGATTATTACTTTCTCTTTCTCAACGACTACTCGTACGTACCCTTCGACTCCGACAGTGTCGCCGCACGACCCCGTTCACTGATGATTGTTGCACCCTCTAGAGTAGGATGTCCCGTCCAAATAACGCCGTGCCGCCCCGTCGGGGCGGAGAGCATGCACCTTGGCGATACAAGGTGCTTGCTCATTCATATGGCGAGCAGGCGGTTTCCTCGGTGGTCGACGTGCTGGTCAGCACCGTCGACACCCTGGCCAGCGATCATAGGCCAGGCCCACAGAGGAATCAAGGCGGGTTCGGGGCCAAGAGGGGGCGCGATGTCCACCTGGGTCAGTTGTTGTGAGTGTCGCTTCGCCTTTGTCCATCTGGAGCGTCGTTCGAGACCACATGTAGTTCTTCCGGGCGCTTTCGGACGAATGCGCCCCGTCCCCCCTTGCACTGGTCTCCTACTTTTGGCTATCTCAGGATATGTTGCAATTGCTGGAGGTGAGTGCTTGCTACACACCATGTGGATCTCAAGTCGATTCTGACCGTTCTGCCATCCTGAAGCCCGGGGCGGGAAGCAAGCCAGCGAAGCGATATACGTGTCGTCCCGCACTGCCGTGCCCCAAGCAGGGTACCGGTAGGGCGGGCGCTGAACGTACATAGCTTCGTGACCTTGATGGTGGTTGGCTAGTATAGGATACGTCCCAGCTGGACAGCCGTGTGTCTCACTATTACCCAACCACTACACCGTTCGGTGTCAACATATGTGTGCTTGCGTGTCCGATTTCTTCGACCGAATCCCACCAAGCAACATATTAACACATGCAGGGCCACGCTGGTAGGCACACGACGATACGAACGAGAGGGCAATAAACGCACGTTTATATCCAACGCGCTATTAGATCACAATTATCGTACTTCACGCCTCCGACCCCTGCTCGCCCTCGAGGTCCGCACCCTAGCAGGCGACTCATGACCAGTTCCCGCCCATGAGCTTCACGAGCTTCTCGCGGAGTGAGCTCGTGGTTTGCTGCTCTTCCGCCTTGCGCGCGCGCTCCTCCGCCTCCTTCTGCGCCTTGGCCTCCTCGGTGATCGGCTCGGGCAGCGGCGTTTTCGCGTGCAAGCGTGCGCGCTGCAGAATCTTCTCGCGTTGCGAGAGGCGCACGGGCTGTTGTGTTTCCGGAGCGGGCGGAGGTGCGAGAGAGTCGGTTTCAGCAGCGGGTGCGCTAGTGGAAGCGGCCAGAGGAGAGCTCTCTGTCGCGGACGCAGACGCGTCTAGTGCTTTCGAGGGCTCTTCCAAGTCCTCAGCCTGGGGCTCATATCCCGCAGGCGGGCGCATCGAGAGGAAGTCGCTTTCGGGCTCGTCGTCGACCTGCACTTCGGCTACCCTTGCGGAGGCCCGGGCTTGAGCCTGGCTCGCCCGCTCCGCGACGAAAGGCTCCCACTTGGTCAGCGCGCGCTCCATCTCCCGCTGTATAGGGAGACCCTCTTCAGGCTTGTAAAACCCGGCCCAGCGGTGGAACGCGAGGCCGAACTCGCCGGTTTCCTTCATGCGCCGTCGGTGTCTAACCTCGGTTTGGGGAGCAGCTGCAGAGTAAGGTATGAGTTTCAGCGTGAGCTAGGTCGCCCGAGAGAACGCACTTGAGCGCTGGACGATCAGCTCCACGACCCTGGTCTCCCGCGGAGTCTCGCCTTCGGGCCCGGAGACGGGGCGTATAGGTGTCGAGTAGATACCGTCGCCAGTCGCTTGGGCGTCCCATTCTTGGGCTTGGAGCAATTCCTGTAGATCGTCGAGTCCGATTCCCCCAGGGCGGTCGCGCTTTGACACGGGGACCTCGACCTTCACGCTGGTGCCCTTCTCCGGGACGCGCTGGTACGCCTCCGAGTCCTCGAGGTCCGCAATGAAGTAGCCGGTGTATTTCGAAGGGATATCGTAATCCTGAGGATATGGGTTTAGTACATGCAGGCAGTGTGAGATGCGGAGGTGCGTTGTTCGCGAATAGGATACTGTGTATGCTGAGCCTGTGCGGATATGTACACTGGCTCTCGCTGAGAACATCCAGCAGAGCGCCCGCGTCCGCGGCCTGACATACAGTAGCACGACAAAAGAGCGCGCAGCGGCATTCCGTCCAAGCTGTGATAGACACGCCCGAAACTGAGAATGTGTAGAACACTCACCCGTCCTGTGCGAAATTCCCGCACGCGCCCGAACCGCTTCTCGATGCCGCGGAGCATAGCGAAGAAAGCGGGCATGCTCTCAATCTCGTCCCATGGGCGAATGTAGAGCGAGTAGTTATCCTTGATCCTCCGCGGGTGGTATTCGACGCGCATTGTTGCTTTACGATATCTTGGCTGCTCGGTGCGCGACTGCTCGGTGCTCGGGCTGTCCGATGATGTGTGGGTGGTGTCCGTCGCATATGCGCGCGTTGCATGACGTGTAACGACAGTGCTCCGCGCCGCACGAGAACAAGCAAGCATAGCGGTCGACATGAAGCAAGAACGGCGTGGACGTTGAGGTCGAGATCAACTTCGACGCCGGAGTCGCCGTCACAGCAAAATACCGGGAGAGTCGGGCGCCTAAGCAAGCGGGCCGAGGCTTCCACTGCTTAGATATCAGGTTAGTCCAGTTATTGATCATGTCAGTAGTTTCTCTAATTCCGCCATTGACCACATCAGTTTGGAGAGCTTACCGCTTCTGATCACTTTGAAGCACCAGCTGCACCTTGCTTCTCACCCCCATGCGCAGCCGACGCGTGTCTTCCCACCGCTCTGTTCACTCACTCACTCGTTCTGCAACCTTGCCCAATTCCTGAAGGCCTGCTGGTGAGCTTAGGATGAGCGCAACACCGCCCAAGCCATCTCGTTTTGCGCCGTACAAAGAGGCTCTGGCTGCGCTCTCGCAACGTACTCGTACACCTCTACCGTCACTCGCACTCTCGTTTGCGATTCTCCACGAACTCACTGCGATTGTGCCCGTTGTCGGGTTCTTCTATGGCGCTCGTGCCCTCGGTGTAGGCGAAGGAATCGTCCGTGCCATTGCACCACCACCCGACGCCGCAGGCGCAGAAGAAAGCGGTGCGACCAATCAGTTCTTGGGACAGTTCCGCGACACCTGGGCCGGTGCGCGTTTCAGGGAATGGATGGTCGAGGGCGAGGTACGGGCGGAGCGCGTTGGGCGGCGCTACGGCTGGTTCGGGTTCGAGAAGGGCAGCAAGGCCGAGGGCGCCTCCGTCGAGTCACAGGTCACTCGTGCCGAGACCGCGTTCTCGTCTGGCAAGATCGCAGGCGACGTCGCAAACGCAGTCGTGGCCTACGCTCTGACGAAGGTGCGTTTCAGGTGTCTCTTCGCGACATGCATCGCTCACGCCCGCCCATATGGCGTCTCCTCGCAGGCTTTCATTCCGGTCCGAATCGGTCTATCGCTCTACTTGTCGCCGGCGTTCTCTAGGGGCATCGTACAGCCTATAGGTACCACGGTGTCGCGTCTATTTCGGCGATAACAGCTGCTTTCACCCGATCCAAGAAAACCGCGATCCGTGACACTCTGTGGTGTACAACTCCCCACATCATATACGGTACTGAATCGTATGATACCAACAGGCATCGCACGCGTTTCCACACAGCGATCCCGTTCCCTCCGTGAAGAACGCGCGACCCCCAGCCACTGACTGGCCCAGTCGCGGCAGTGCATTACCAAACGCCACTTCACAACGCCTCCCAAACTGTAATCCCAGTCGCCCGAAGGTGTCGCAGACCCTCTCGGCCCGTTCATACCAGCATTGCGCACTGCCCACTCATCGCGTTTGAACGCGTTTCCATGGCCGCATCAACAAGAAAGCTGCACGCTGTGGCCCTCAAGCTACACGCCGGAGTTTCGCACACTACACGAACAGTATGCTATCATCCGCGTCTGCTGGAACTGGTATAGGCTAGAGCGTCAACCTAAGGCCCTGCTCTACTCATTCCGTCGTGATCGGCCGCGTCTGACATGTTGCGCGCGCGCCCTCTGGTGCCGCAACGGCTAGCGTCCCCGCCGGCCAGGAACGCGGCAACGCCTCACAAATCGTGGACGTATGGTTGTCGCCGGCATGGACGAGGGTCATAGTATAAAGGTAGGGTCGACACAACCACGATCCTCAGCACTCTGCGAGTCCACTCATCCACCTTCGTCTTCTCCTTCATCTCTATCTTCATTTTACTTCTTACAGCACTGCGTGCCGTTACCCTCTTTCACTTTACATACACCATGCTTACTGCTCACATCCTCGCTCTCTCCGTTCTCGGCTCTGCGCTTGCGCTCCCCAAGTTCGGGTCGCGTCAGGACTTCACCGACGAAGACCTGTTCAACTCCTGCCCCGGCGGTCCCGGCTCGAGCAAGTTCGAAAAGGCGGACCGATGCACCCTCGTAAGTTACATTCCTGAGACGCTTCCATTCTCACGAAACAGGCTCACATCTGCATGCAGGATGGCCCTATTGACATCCCCAACGTCCGCCACTTCGTTGCTCTCGGCCAGCCCCAGCTCAAGTGCGCTCCCCATGCTACCTGTATCCACACACGCACGTACTCACTCTCCTATAGCTGCGGCGGCGGCACGGACCCGATCACCGTCACCCTCGGCGGCGAGAAGACAGTGTCGACGACCACGACAGTCGACGCCGACGTCGGCTTTGAGATCGACGGCCTCTCCATCGGTGGCGGCGCGTCGACCGAGAACTCGGAGAGCTCGACGATGTCGAAGCAGGTCAGCTTCCAGATCCCGCCGAAGCGCCAGGCGGTGTTCGTCGCGGGCCAGAACAACAAGGCGCAGAACGCGCGCGTGCAGGTCAACTTTGGCGACCGCCAGTTTGGGCACTTCATCGTACGTGTCTTTGTTTCCGGGAGCTTTCGGTGGTGAAAGCTTACAAGTTATGTGTTTGGTGTTGTAGTGGTTCACGAGCACGAACGTCACGCGTCTGACGCCGATCGACGGTGATGTCGAGTTCGACGTGCACGTCTCTGACTGTGGTACGTCTTCATCCCTAATTCGTGCCCACTTTCATGCGAACTAATGTTTGACTACGCAGGGACGGATGCCACCGATCTCTCTTCGTACAATAAGCAGTGAAACGGCGGCCATATACCACTCAAGTCAATACTCTAGTAGCCACGGTGTCAATCTGCTGTTGTACTCGAGATAATTGTGTTGCTGTATCCATGGTTTCTTTTCTTGTCGAGCCAGCTGATGGGCCCACATTTTTATGGCGTTAGTGACGGGAGAGGTAGTGAGTATACGCGTGCAATCTGTGAGATAGAAAGGGGAGACTAGTCGAACTTTGGTTGCAGACATTATCAGACAACTGCGAGCCTCGCGTGTTCCACCTCATCACAGCTCTATGGCGGTGCGTCATTTGTAGCCCCTCGCGTTGCCGATGCTGCTCTGACACCGTACCCGTCTCGCCAGCTGCTGGAGCATTACCTACGTGATCTAAGCCACGCGCCCAAACCATCCACACACAGGGCAGGCGACTATCTCCGCACATCGTCGAGCACCCTCAATTTGTAGCACATCTCAAATTGCCAACAGGTCATGCCGTATCACACCGCCTCGCGTCTGGGCACAGCTCGTTGTATTCCTCTAGGCCTGCAGGGTTCGACTTGGTACTCAGACTGGCGTTCACTGGATCATAATACAGTGATCGCCCTGGATGAACTGGCCTCGCTTCCAGTATTGACGACCTGCAGCACCTCATAACGGGCAACAACCGTGGGTGGAGGCTCTGCCGTTTTATCCGCCACTACAACCAAAAATGCCGGAGGACAGCTATGTGAGATCCTGGTGGACTTGATGGGCTGATACTGGGCGAACCGGCCGGAAGCGTCCACAAACTCGAGCAGGGACGCGCGGCACTTGGGATCCCTTAGTAGGTGCTTGAGTGTGAATGGTTTCTTGCCCATTGAACGGCGTACTACACGCACCGTCTGTTAAGCGTCCTGATCCGACGCTGCGCCGGCTGCCAGGAGCGTCGGTTCTGGTGTATAATAATATATATGTATTCAACGTTCTATACAATCGCGTCTAGGGTAGGTGCATCAAGCCAGTGAGCACCTCCCCACATCCACGACTTCTGCTTGAAAGCGACGACAGCGAGAGCAAATCACCGACAATTTTAAAACGACAGCGGCGGATCATCAACAGCTCGAAAGCGCATGCGACAGCAGATCAACGGTATTCCCCCAGCCCCTGCTTCAGGATACGATGACTCTCGCACGTGCCGTCGCAAGGCCGTGGGGGGTCGAACGAGCGGATGAACCCATCCTCCCCCACAAATCCTAGCCAGCAGTGGCCCGCGAACATGTCCGCTTCCGGCTTCCACGCCCTTCTGCGCGCGAATGCTTCTTGGACCGAGGCAAGTGTGATGTCAGTGCCCAAGCTCTGGCTTGGGTCCAAGGACGAAGACGATGGTTCCAGTATCAAGCACGACGGTGTCGGCATGTGGGCGTCCAGTGCCAGGTTGTTTGAGCCTGCGAGGGCGGGAGCGAAGCTTGCGCCTGGCGTCTCAGCCCATTGCGTCTCTTTTGCAGAGTCGCTGTGAGTGCCCATGTCGCTCTGCGATGAACCCACGTCCTGCGCGAAGTACGATGTTTGGGGCGGTGGCTGCTCCATGGTGCCCGAGTACTGAAGTCCTCCGGGCGAAACTGTTTTCCCGCTTGTCTGCTCATACTCGATCAGCGCATTCATGAAGTGCTCAAAATAGTCCGCGTGCCCCGTGTTCGCGATTGGGGTCCTGGCCCGCTGAGTCCACTCTTGCACAGATCCGTCACCGCTTTCACCACTCGGCGTGTCCGCGCTCGTAGTTTCTACGGAAGCAGAAGTGCTTGCGACTGGCGTGCAGTCCCATTGAATCTCTCGCGCGGCAGCTTCGCGACGGCGTAGCTCGTTCACCCATCCTGACCCGTCGCCTGAAGAGTATTGTGCTTGGTTGAATGGCTGCGCCATGGAGGCCGGAGGTTCTCCAGGCCACAACGTCTCGCCCGATCTGAACTGCTGGCTATTCGTGTCCGTCTGCACGAGGCGCACCGCACTCCCTATGCCTGAGCGCCGACTACCGCATATGCAAAGTTAGCGGGAAGGAGGAGATATAGTGGCGAACAAATCTTACTTCTCAGAGCCCGCGATCCGCGGAGACAGGTACCCTGGCCTTGGGACGGGGCTTAGTGAAGCAAGGCTTGCCCTTTGCTGAAGAACCCAAGACGGAGTCGGCTTATTCTCTCTGTACAGACCTGTCCCCATTGGAACCGCTACGAACCTGCCAGCCTGAGTCAAGCCGCCGCTGCTGCTTGCAATGCTTTGAGTAGGCGACCCCAAGAACGGGATAGGTCCCGTGTCGAACTGCGGCTGCCGGAGTCGCGGGTCGTCCCTGTCGACGTGCCGCTGGCGCAGCATGCGCTGCCTCTCCATCATGTGTTCCATCTGCTCAGGAGCTCGCCGCGACGGCGATGGGTGCGTCCTTGCCACAGGCTGCGATAGGAAAGGGTTGGGCTGTGGGCCTCTCAGCAGGGAACCTTCGTGCGTCGTTTCGAGCTGGTTGGTCGAGGTCGGGAACGGTGGCGTGATGTCTCCGGGGGATTTCGAAGCCGACCAAGTTGGCGCCGCCTGCTCTGGGATACTACCGGATGGCTTGGACTGCTGGGGGTACGCCGGGTCGCACAGTGCCAGTGATAGCGAGGAAGTCGATGTTCGAGGCACCGGCGCTTGGGAAGCAGTTTGTAGGCTACGCTGAACGGCTCGGCGGTGCTGGATAGAAAGGCCTGACCGGTCGTCCTTTGGAGGATCGATGTGTGTTGCTTCAGCCCATTGTCCAAGCATAATTGGCTGTATGGGACGTGTCGACGGACCCGGAGACACTTCTCCGGCGTGTTGAGCGGGAGGAGATGTAGATCCCTGAGCGACCTGGAACGAGCTGATCAACGCATTCGAGTCTTGCTCCGCTGTAGTCTCTCGCCGCTTGCTATCCGGGCCTTGTCGCTGCTGTGCCTCCGAGGTCTTCCTCTTCGTGTCCTTGGGCTTCCCTTTCGGAACGGCGTCGAGACGAGTCGCCTCGGCGTTCTCCTCCTCTTCATCCTGCGGTTTGGCACGGCTCTGGTGCTTGGGGGAACGACGGGCTGCTGCCCGATTACGGCCGTTTTTTTGAGCGGTCCGAGGCATGGTGAAAGGTAACTGTAGGGTGCTGAAGATGAGTGAAGATGAGTATATATGGGCACTTACCCCGCCAAAGACACGGTGCAGTCGTTTGCTGCCTTCAATCCTTACGGGAACGCACTGGAGGAAGAACGAAAGATCGTTACGGCGTCTAGGTTCGCGGCATTGGGGAGCGTGTTTTGTACTACTCCAAGCGTACCGTTTCAGCGCACCGCGACATGCCATTGTGGCTGGGATAGGAGCTTTCGAAATCATCTGTGAGTAGGTGGGATAACGACGACAATAGCGGAGCATGGTGTGGCTAAATCTTCCAGCGCCACTTTGTCCACCGCTGTTCAAATTTCCACCGCACCTCGGACTCTCGTCAATTGAACGGTCGCTTTACGAGGAGACGCTAGGTAGAATACACATTACCTGATAAGGGATCATAGCGTCCATTGGGCGCATGAGAGTGGACGACAATGGCCGGGAAGACAAAGAGAATTCGCTGCCGCGCGGCTAGCCTGGACGGACGGAAATTCCCAGGCTGCACCACGATCATGTGGCCTATGCACGCATCGCGTATTATCGACGCGTCGAGCAACACGAACGAACTTAGCCACGGATGATACGGCCTGTACAATGTAGATAGGTCTCTGGTCGTTAGATAGGTCTCTGGTCGTGGGGTGCTGAATAGGATTACAAGTAGTGGCCTCGATCGGTGTCAGAATATGATACAACGTCCATGACTGCGAGTCTCGCACAAATACAAACGGAAACCATATCCTCTCGAGTCCGTGAACTGAAAGCACCCAGCATATACATCCAACCCCCAAGGTATCTTCCAGCTCCACATGTTTCCTTCACTCGTCTTTCCCTCCCTCGACGCACTCCAGCATCGCCTCCACTTTGGCCGAGTCTTCTTCGTCCAGGGGTTCGACCTCCATAGCGCGGACATTCAAGCCGACTTCCCCCTCGCTCAGCGTCGAAGCCCCTTCCGCTGGAGCGGCGTCCATGTTCTCGTCCTCATCATATTTATAATCCATATCCGCGAGGCTTTGCACCCCCTCATGAGGAGGCCTCGGAGCGCACGGAAACCCCATTGCACGCCAATACCCCTCCCAGTATTCAGGCCCCGCACACTATAATGCATGCGCCGTCAGAATCGCGCCCGGAACAGCCCACGAGAGGGTCGCGAAGGGACGTACCCAGGCCACCATTACAATCAGCCGGTTCCTGACCTCGCGCCGCTCCTTCTCAATCGCAGGAGTGTTCTCCAGTTCATCCAGCACGTCGAGGCGTTCGAAGAGCGGAGTCGTCGGGTCGTCGTGTGTCAGGTCCTCGGGGCCACGCCCTAGACAGTTGAATGATTGACAAGTGCTGCTGTCGTTGTCGTGGATGGGCCGGTGGCAGGGCATAACCACGGCGGTATCAGCTGGGCTCAGAGCGGCCATGTCGATAGATGTAGCGGGGGCGAGGGGGATGGGCGAGGGGGTCGTGGTGGTAGTGGTCATGGCGGATGGGTGGTTGGGTGGTCGGGTTGTGGTGGCTAAACGGAGGGAGGTGGCGATGGTCGAGTGTGAGGAGGGAAAAGGCGCCGCACCTCGCATATATACCTCCCGCTGGGATTGGGCTCCGCGAGGCGCCCTGCTCCCTATATGGATACCTCCCTGTGCGGGGCGCGAGACTAGCCAGAGCCTGCCGTGAAGAGATAGCCGTCGAGCTCAAGCGATATGACGCAAGGCGGGCAGTCACAAGAGATACATATACATTTGACTGTACATTCAGATGCGTCGCCGGGCTCCTGCTCTCCCAAACGTCAGCGCATGCACACAACGCCGCAAAGACCACTGACCCATCCCAGCCCTCGACTTCAAAACCACCCATCGTTCAGCAGGTCGTCCACCCTCCGCACCTTTGACGGCCCCGCCTCCTCCTCCTCCTCCCTCGCGCGCTTCCGCAACGCCGATGACGCCGTGTCCTCCCCCACGAATTCATCAAACAAATGGGCATCAAGTGGGCTCACCGAGCGCTGCGTCTCCGAGCGCGCGCGCCCCTTGCTGCGCTTCCCGTACGCCTTGCGCAGGACCCCAAAGAACTTCTCGTTGAACCCGACGCGCTGCAGCCCGAGCACCTGCACGGCGATCGCGCCCTCCGTGTACAGCTCCGCGAGCGCGTGCAGGTACGCGCGCGCCTTGGTTTTCTGGGACTTGGATGCGGGGTCGAAGGTGCGGCAGGCGAGCTCGCGGAGGAGCGCCTGCGCGCGCGATCAGCTGCGCGGGGTGTAGAGGACGGGCGAGGGGGCGTACCTCGTTGACGGGCTGGGGCAGGTCTTGCAGCCGCAGGACCTTGGGCCCGGCGTGTACGAGGAAGGTCCCTGCGTACATGAGTTGACCCCCGTCCGTGTCGAAGATCTCGCGCCGCTGGCTGGCCAGAGACGCCCACTCAGTCGCCGGGGACCAACTGGTATGAGAGCTCGTCGAGTCAGCGGGGCCGGAGTGTGGGGTGTAATGGCGCGTGGGGCAGATGAGGAGCGCGTTCTGCGAGGGCGGGTCACACCACTGCAGAAGCCCGCCGAAGAACGCGAAGCCGCCGTCACTAAACACAAGCGACGGTGAGTACTATGATGTCTTCTTGAAAGGATACGGAATGCGCACCTTGCGGCGATAGCAGCCTAATCGGAATGTCAACGCGTACCCGCAGCGCATAAGATCGGAAGTCCCATACCTTGGGTAGGATCTGTAACTTGGGCTTGTCGAAGACTACGCGGGACTCCGTCGCATGCGTGTCCGCTACAGCGGAGCCCGAGAGCTTCGACATGAAGGCACTAAACTCTAAAAACTATTCTACACGTTCAAGTATGTGAACAAAGAAAGCGGGAAATCCACATACGTTTTCGGGGGTCGACGGCGCAGTATCCAGTCCAGTGATGGTTTTCTATGAATGATGTACGTCAATATACGTCTTCGTGCTTTCGAATTTTGATTGATGAACTTACCGGCACCAAATCTTCCTTCATGACCTTCATGACCTTCTCTACCGCAGCCCTCCTCTGAAGGTCCCCAAGGTTCTCAGCAGTGATCGAAGTTTTGGCTTTCTCATAGCGTTCGCGCCATATCACTGCGTCCTTACGATGGACCTCGGCGGTGCATTGTAAGGCGGCCAGCTCGTCTTTCAACGACGTTATCTCGGCCTTCAAGCCGGAAACTGCCTTCCCACCGCGACGTTGGTACGAAGATCGTGATTGATTGAAGGGAAATGACCGACCTGATCATCCGTAGGGCCAGAGGTGCCGCTGCGTTGCGGTGCGCTGTCAAGGTTTTGCTTGAGGGAAACATTCTCCTGAAAGTTAAATTATTATCGCGGTGAGCTGCATAGCACGGTACACGTTGTGCCCGACCCGGAATGAGTGCTCAATGGCGTATCTTAGGAATCATGCATATTACTGCATTCATAACGCCTGGCTCTCGTCACCAGCATGCCAGCAGCGAGTCTCACCTCATTCAGTCGCTGCAACTGGTCCCTGCAATCTTGCAGCTGAGCATCAAGGAACTTGACAAACTCCGCGGTGAGCTGGGGGCTGGTGCCTAGGCTATCCATGGTCATTGAGAGAGGTACGAGGTACAGAGGCGACTACCGCAGCACCCGACATCGTGGTCGAGACAGAGTTCTCACCCAGAGTTCTCCAAACATTTAAGAAGTCGAAATACCTGGCAGGGCTAGGCGCTCTGCTGCTGCCGCTGAGTTTAACGCGCGGTCCGCGCGGCGCGCCCGCGGGGGAACGGGCTCGCGACGCCGGCCCGTGCACTACCGGGAGGTGTAGACGCCCATCGGCTACTCGGCGGATATGTTCCGGGCGCGTCTTGGCGACTACCCCAGACTTGCCCCAGACTAAACTCTTGACCTCCCCCACATCCTACTCTACGCCTCCTGAACGCCTGAACAATGTTGAGCACGAAGGCCATCAGACTATCAAGCTTGAAACGGACGTGCCAAGTTGCATCTCAATTTACAGGCAGGCGGTTGGCTTCAGGTGAGTAACATTTGAACTCCTAGCAAGCGGAAGAAGTCTAACTGCGGTGGTTGTGCTACGAAGGATATGGGAAGTTTAACTGGGAGGTATATGACCATGTCATATTCCAGTTGTTCTCAAATCGATAGCCCCCCGTGGAAAAACAGACACAGAGGCATTCACGTCCAGATGCGGCGGCGACGCATTGCATGAGGCGGCTAGCACGTCGCGAGCATCGCGAGGAGGTATGCGCACTTAGGCGTGTACATCCGCGTCCTCCCCGCGTCGCCCCCTGGAACCGCTGTCTGTGATCAAATTTTTCCCGGGCCTATCGATCTGAGAACAGCTGTCACAAGAATCGCGTGTTCATAGTCCTCCAGGATCCGCTGAACGCCGAAGGTCTACTCACCGACGAAGAGGTTGCAATACGGTATGTAACACGTTACAGTACTGCACTATATGCTCATCCACTTCAGAGATACCGCACGCGCGTTCTGTCAGGCAAGAATCCCTTCAACACTGGCATTCCGGTCACCTTAATCACGTGTCATTAGGAAAACCTACTACCTCGCGTGCTCGAGGCTCAGCGGACAGAAGGTACGGCATGACAGTCAACAGCCGTTAACTTATATTCCTGAACGTTTTTCAACTAGAATTCAACCATGATATACTTCCTGCGATGGGCGAGCTTGGACTGCTCGGTCCGACTATCCAGGGTTACGACTGCGCCGGCGTCAGCAGCGTAGCCTACGGTCTCATTGCTCGCGAGGTGGAGAGGTTAGTGTGTATCTTTATTAGAATTCGACGAGGGTGCTCAATTTCGGACAGGGTCGACTCTGGGTATCGGTCTACGATGTCCGTCCAGTCATCTCTTGTTATGCATCCCATATACGCATATGGGACGCAGGCACAGAAGGACAAGTATTTGCCGTTGCTTGGTACGTCTCCCTCGGCCCTGTTCTAGCTATCAATATGTATTCAATCTTCGAGTAGCAAAGGGGAAGTTGATTGGGTGCTTCGTACGTATTCATTTCATGATACGTACTGACACCGATACTGAGGCTGCTGTAGGGCCTCACCGAGCCCAACCATGGATCGGACCCCGCAGGAATGGAGACGACAGCGACCGAAGTCGACGGTGGGTTCGTCATCAACGGATCCAAGACGTGGATATCGAACGCGCCCGTTGCGTAAGTTCGCGCTCGTGTTTGCATCACATCCTTGGCTTACCTTCACCTAGCGACGTCTTCATCATCTGGGCGCGGTGCAAGTGGGACGACAAAGTCCGCGGCTTCATCCTCGAGAAGGTAAATTTACCTCCCGTCTCCCCACATTACGCTCACTGAGTCTCCTCACGCACAGGGAGCCAAAGGCCTGAGCGCGCCGGCGATCAAGCACAAGCTCGCGCTGCGGTGCTCGCTCACAGGCTCGATCTTCATGGACAACGTACAAGTCTCGCACGACGCCCTACTCCCGCATGGGCAGGGCCTCGGCGCACCCTTCGGCTGCCTGAACAACGCGCGGTTCGGGATCGCGTGGGGCACGATGGGCGCGCTCGAGGACTGCGTGCACCGCACGCGCGAGTACGCGCTCGAGCGCCAGCAGTTCAAGCGCCCGCTCGCGTCGTTCCAGCTCGTGCAGAAGAAGCTCGTGGATGCGCAGACGGAGGTCACGCTCGGGCTGCTCGCGTGTTTGCAGGTGTGTTCATGCCCCGCGGTGATGTGACGGGGAGAAGGGTGTTGAGCGTGCTGTGTAGGTCGGCAGGCTGAAGGACGAGGGCAAGGTCGCGCCCGAGATGATCAGCCTCATAAAGCGCAACAACTGCGGTAAGGCCCTCGAGCACGCGCGTAGGGTTCTGGACATTCTCGGCGGCAACGCATGCTCAGACGAGTGAGCACTCTCTTTCCGGGCCGAGGAAAGCATGCTGATGAGGCTCAGGTACCACGTCGGGCGCCATGTGGCAAACCTGCAAGTCGTCAACACGTACGAGGGCACCTACGTAAGTGCGCGCCGCCTCGAGATCCATCTGATGCTGACCGAGCCATGGGATGGATAGGATATTCATACGCTCATTTTGGGCAAGGCGATCACGGGCATCCAGGCTTTCGCGAACTAGCGGTGGAATGACTCGCTACACCTTCCGCGGAATGATGTACAGTAATCATTTCCTCACAATGACTTTCTCTGTCGTTTTCACGGTTCCTCGCCCGCTTCAAGTCTCGAATCAAAGCGCATGCGAAGCTAGGACGGCTGAGTCGTCGGGACCGGTTTGACTGCTCACTTATCCCACACAGCGCGATGATTTTGACATATACCACATATCACTGCACGCTGGGCTCTAGGAAGCCCAGGAACCACGGGTTTGGGGTCCTAGCATGATGCCGCGGTGAGTGGGTGCAGTCATGTTCTCTTCAGAATCTCATGCCCCCACAGTGCCACGAGTCGGTGCACTCACAGCCCCGCGCTTCTCGCAGCAGTCCATGCCTGCGTATTTAGGCCTAGCTCCCTAAGCCAAGCTCCGAACGCGCAGCCAGGTTCACACAGCGCCGAATCCCTTCCGCGCATCTCGCGCTCGGAGTCACCGTGTCCTGCTATGGCAGGTTGGCACGCGTGCGGCCCTGCCGCGCCCCGCTCGCATAACGTATTCTGCGGCCGCTCGTCCATTCTGTGATTTATCCGCACACAGGGCTGGCCCCGTTAGGCCTAATGTAGCGGTCATTGGTGGACTTCGAGCGGTGGTGCGTGGGACTCGGCTCGTGAGTGTGCTCCTCTTGCCTCTCGGGGGATGCGTAGGACTTCCAGACGATCACAGAGTACGACGCTGAGACGCTCTGGCTTTGGAGATAACGCATCGTTTTCTGTGGCGGCCGCACACAACTCACCCGCCCTTCAATCCACAGAGCCGCCACGTTTGCGATCGCAACGCTTCCTCATCCTCCTTCTCGCACACCCCCACTGAACGCACTACTCCATGGCTAAACACACCAAAGGTGCCCCCCGCGCAAAGAAATCTGGCAAGAATGCCATCCGTACCGAGAAGCCTAACAAAAGTGCTCAACGCGGTTAGAGAGGCCTCATCAGGTTCAGTGGGTGGAACCTGTTTATGAAGGAGTTGTCCGGCCCCGTTTGGCGGCGACTCGCCAGCAAAGATCGCTTCCGCTACGCGTCCGCACTGTGGCGCGCCCTATCCCGAGCAGAGCGTGGCGAGTACGACGCGCGCGCGGTGGCGATCCGCGAAGATGCGCAGAGGCTCAGAGAAAACCCGGTTGAAGACCAGTGGGTTTTGGTCGAGGCCAACGGCTCAGCGGTGGCGGCGGAGGCGCGAACGGTCGCGGACGACCCTGGGGTGGGGGTTCCCCGAGCGGAACCCATGTGGCGTGCTCACTCAGACCACTCTTCAACAACCCCTTCCGCCTACCCTGCGGCGGACACGACCTCCTACGACGCAGGGGTCCCCTTGCCGGGCTTCCAGGACTATACCACGAGGTGGCAGCTTCCTCCCTCCCAGTCTTCTGGCCACGTCGACTCGGCTATGCCACATGTCGCTGGTTTATCAGACACGCCACACTCCCCGTGGCCGATTAGCCAGAATGTGTGCGCACCTTTCCCCGACTCCATGGTCTCCCCTGCCCGCTATTGCGACCGCTCGCTCTCCTGGTCCACTCCTGTTACCCAGGCTAACTCGCCAATGCTGGGCACCGACCTCCTCGACGCTATCGAGTCTGGACGCGACTTCTGCCAGTGGACACAGCCCGGGATGCAGTCGGCGGACAACGGTATGAGCTGGTCCGCTGCTCAGGTCATGGACTTGTCCAATGGATCGCATTATTCCACCGGACAGGCGCTCTCAGGCGCCGACGCTTCCTCCGTGGACTTCTGCGCTGGCGATTCGTCTGGTGGCGCAGTGCAGGCCTGGGCCATCTTGCCCGCGAATGCGCAGCAGGAAGAATTTGTTGCTGCTGAAGAGTGGACTGCTTTCATCAATCGCCTTCTAGTCGCCGACGAGAACTCAGCTCACGCGCCGAGTCCGATAAGCTTCGCGCACGAGACGTTGGGCCGCTGCTCTCCCGCATCGCAAGCGGTCATCGAACTTCTGGCGGGAACTTTGAGACATGGTGGCGGAGATTCGCTCTACCCCACGCCCTCGCCCAGCGTTGGATCGCCCACAAAGATGGCGGGCGATGCATTCTGCGAAGTTGGGTCACCAGGGTTGTCAGCGGCGGATGCACCCTCAGGCTCGAGAATAGAACACTATGAGGACCCACCATTGACGCCTTCCACTCTCGTGGCTAGTCCCCATGAGGGGTGGTCGAAATCTACCGAGCCAGGTTCTTCCGGCGGCGATTCCACCACTGCTGCGCCCTTCATGGCAATGATTTTGGAGGTGGCATCGCTGGCATCGGAGCGTTACGGTGCAACATCTACAATATGATGCTCCTCTACCGGTGGTATCAGCACGCAACGGCTATCACTGGTAGAGGCGGCCATCCGGGACATCACTAGTGGCGAGGGACTGGTTGAAGGCGTGACTGGCAAGTGTGAAGGGGGGCTTCAGGTTCAAGGAGTAGTGTCATCCATGCATCTTCGTTGGCCCTCATATCGGTCCTGAGCGCGGCTAGACTGAGCACAGCACGACAGACTCCTTATTGTGTCACCATGCCAATTCTTATTCTCTTGTCTGCGACCCGGATTCATCTGCTCGATATCATGTTTGTGGACGCTAGTTTGTTGTCTCGGCTAGCCTCGTGGTTACCGTACGCCGGCGCTTGTACTTGTTTAGCGCTTCCTTGTTGTAGTTTTTGTTCGTCCCCGGCATCGATGTATACTCTCGCCCCAAGAATGATGATTTCGTTCCTGTGTTATTCTGAATCTCCAACGTAGACAACAGCATGAGGTAGCGCCCATGCAAGCATCTTGGTTGTAATCCGAATATTGGGGGAATCCGGCGCATAATAAGTACTACGGTATGACCATTGGCATCTAAACTACAACATCGTGAAAGTCATAAGTTTATCGGGGAAGCATAGCTGAGCTCATGCATCATCCAAATTACTGGCCGTTGTAGGAAGAGAGGTCCCTAGGGTCAGTGCCTGGTTTGTAATCCGTTTATTAGCTCGCCATACATGACAACTTGAAGACAGAGAGACGCACCGCAGTCAGACTCATGCACATCAAACTCGACGTCGCCATCGATGGGCGTGAGACGCGTAATGTTCGTGCTGGTGAACCACTGATACAAATCACAGCCCAGTTAGCACACGGTTGACCACCACAGAAGACGGAGCGCCACGTACGATGAAGTGGCCGAACTGACGGTCGCCGAAGTTCACCTGCACGCGGCCGTTCTGGGAGTTGAAGTTCTGGCCGGCGACGAAGACCGCCTGGCGCTGCGGCGGGATCGTGATGCTGACCATCTTCGACAGCGTGCTGCTTGTCGTGCTCGAGTCGGAGACGCCGCCCCCGATACTGAGCCCTCCGACCTCGATGCCGATGTTGGCGTCCACCGTCGTGGTCTCGGACACCTCGGTAGAGCCGCCGACCATGAGGGTGACGGGTGTCGAACCACCGCCACAGCTGCGAATAGTTGCCTCGGGTTAGCAAGCGAGTGACTGGACGTAGAGAGTGACGCACTTGAGCTGGGGATCGCCGACAACAACGAACTTGCGGACGCTAGGGTTCGCAATGGGGCTGTCCTGTGATCAGGCTCATCGTGAGCCCGTGCAGTCATTGGGTGTAAATATTGACATCACGTACAAGGGTGCAACGATCCGCGCTCTCGAATTTGCTCGAGCCAGGGCCTCCAGGGCAGGAGTCGAACAGGTCCTGGTCATTGAAGTCCTGGCGCGGGTAGTGCTGCGGGAAGGCAAGTGCGTAGCTGAGAACGGAGAGAACGATGAAGGAAGTGGCGAACATGGTGAACTTGAGATAGGAAGGCGACCGCACGCAGTGCAATGAGCTGGAAGGAAAGTGAAAGAGGGGTGAGACTCGCAGAGTGCTGAGGATCTCAGTGATTTCTATGTCCCCTTTATACCTTCGCATAGTGTAGCTCATGGGCTACGCGAACCGCTGTTATCGGCTTGCGTGGGACCAGGATCTCACATAGTTGTCCTCCGGCTATTTTTGGTTGTTAGTGGCGGAAGAAACGGCAGAGCCTCCGCCCACGGCTGCTGCCCGTTGCGAGGTGTTGCAAGTCGTCGATACGGGATGGCGAGGCCAGTACATCTAGGGCATCACTGTATTGTGATCCAG